CTTATTCTTGTGTCGAATCGACATCGTAGCCCAATGAACGTGGTTTTGGCAGCGAGTGGTGCTCATATAAATTTCCATTGGCGTTGGCGGACACTATCGCAGGTGGCGATTCACGGATTCAGTGGGATTTTCATGAATACCACTTACTCTTACGTCGAGTCGACAATATAGCCCAGGGAACGTGGTTTTGGCTGCTAGTGATGTTTATACAGTATACATTTTTAGTAGTGTCGGCGGACATTATCGCAGGTTGCGATTCTCGGATTAGGTCGGATTTTCATAAATACCACTTATTCTTGCGTGGAATCGACATCTTAGTCCACTGAACGTGGTTTTGGCTGCGAGTGGTGCTCATATAAATTTCCATTGGCGTCGGCGGACATCATCGAAGGTGGCGATTCTCTGATTCATTTCGATTCATCGAAACCCAACAAAATCTTGCGTCGAGTCGACAACATTGCCCACGGAACATGGTTTTGGCTGCGAGTCATGTATGCAAAATTCCCCTTGACGTTCGCGGACATTATCGCAGGTGGCAATTCTCGGATTCGGTCTCATTGTATAAAATATCGCATATTCTTCCTTTTTGTCTACGTTTTTGTCGAATGAAGTTAGTTTTGGCTGTGTGTGATGAGTGGAAATTTTATCTTTAATGTAGGCGGACACTGGTGGCGATTTTCTGATTCTTTTGGTATTTTTTTTTTTAAAATATCGCATTTTCTTGGGTCTTGTTCTCATCCTAGCGGAATGAAATTGCTTTCGGCTGTGAGTGAAGCATACAGTATTTTCCTATAGTAATACTTTCGCGGCCATCATCCCATGTGTTGATTTTTAAAGTCTGTTGGTTTGTTAAAATATCTCATACGTAGTCTGATCAAAAAGTTCTGAGACGTAATTTTTATGACGTTGTGGTGACTCTTTCCGACTGTAGATAATTTTTTCATTTTAACTAGTACTCGTAGGCATCTACACAAATTTTACCGCGTTTTTTTTTCGCCACTGGAAGCATTGCTGACACTACTTTTTGACTCAGCAGCAGTGCTCGCGGATCGTTTACAATTTTGCTTTGATTGCCTAAAATCTCCATTTCATCACATTCTTTAGTTTTGGTAGCACACATAAATTACTAGGAACTAAACCTCGACGAGTTGATTTGCTGATGAAGCACGGGATTGCGGGGTAGGTCAGAAACTACTGAAATCGGAAAAGAATGGAAATCTCAGAAGCATTTAAAGCAGCATTACGAATGCGCCGCGAGCACTGTTGATGACTCCAAAAGATGAGTGTCAGCAATGCTTCCAGTCGCTGAAGAAACGCCTGAAAATTTGTGTTGATGCCAAAGAGGACTATTTTAAAGGATATAATTATCTGCTGTCGGAGTCACCACAGCGTCATAAAAAATAAAGTCTTAGAACTTTTTAATCAATCTCGTATTCTTGCGTCGAGTTGACATCGTAGCCCGATGAATGTGGTTTTGGCTGTGAGAGATGCCTATATAAGTTTCCATTGGCGTAGACGGACATTTTCTCTTGTGGCGATTTTCGGATTCTGTCAGATAGTTTTAAATATTTTTTTAAATATTCTTTTGTAGAGTCGGATTGTTAATAGGATCGCTTTTTCAGGTGTCGATTCTAATTTGTTTAATGGCAATGGCGGCCGGTGGACCTCTTCCTTTATATAACCTGTCAACGAGAAATTCTGCGAAAAAAATCGTTGCAAAATTCTCTAAACTCCAGGAGAAAATTTTTTTTTTAGAAATTTCCGAGTCATATGATGAAGATAAGGAATCTCAAGGGCATGATTTGATTGGGGGTATAAGTGCACCTGCAGTTAAAAAGAGTAAAGTGATAGTAAGTGAAAGAGTAAAGAGTAAAAGATCTGGCATGGAAAGGGAAAACATGAATAACCTCATGACTCAAACATGAATAAACACGAATAAATCTGCTAAGTCTCAACAAACAATACGGAAATACAGTGGTTGGAACGACGAATGCATGTTTATTCCTTTAGCCTGGTGTTCGTCAAAGAAACCCTCCCTGGCCGTGCATAGCGTTAGGCATAAGGCTATGCTTTAAAAATGCACTCCCCAAAGGATTAAGTTTTTAAGTTAGGTTACTGTTAGCTACTAATTTCCCTCCATATTTGGTGTTCATTTTTCTAGCAATATGTGTCTTTTGCATTTATAAATTGAGATTAGTAAGCTAAACAAATATCTTCATATGCAATTGTATTGCATCAAATAAATTCTCAAAATTAAATGTCCTTAGAGTGTATTTTCTTCGAGAGTGATCAGGATCCTTATAATATTAATTAAACTTTTCTGAAAAAAAAAATCTATTCTTTCGTATCTTTTTAATTGTAAAGAGAGAAAACCCCAAGGGGGACTACTCCATGGCGTTCGCAAAACAGTTTAAAAGATCTCTTTATTTTAGATTTTTCGCTTTTATATAGCCGGGTTGCTGTTTTCCTGATAGCTTTTTCGTGTTTCCCTCTCAGGTGGCTTTTTCTCTGAGACGCTCTACATCTCATTCGGGAAAATGGCATTTTTCATGGAAGCTATTGAAACGGGCAGTTTATGGGGTGCTGATAGCAAAAATCTTCAATAATCCACCAAAACCTTAGTAGAACCGGATAGTGCCATAAAATCACCAGTTTACCTCTCTTCTAACCACCTCTTCCGGGACCAAATCGGGTCCTTGCTTACACCAAGTGCACAACGGTAATAGGCACATGCTTCTGTGCACTACGTAGATTACCGATCTAATCCGTTCATGGCGGAGGGAGCCACTCTAAAGAAAGGAAAAGGTCAGCCAAGGCTAGCCATGCCCAAGGCAGTGAGAGTGGTTCTACTGCACGAGGTGAAGGGGTAGAACCGGGTAGAACCTTTAAGAGGGTTAACCTTCGCTTATCCCTTTGAACGGGATAAACGAGAGGATATGACACCCAACTTCGCACCCCCTCAGCCAGTCTTCACGGCAATTTTCAGCATTTTGAAGGTCCAACTGGTCTCGACCGTACTATTGATGGGCATAAACACCGTCTTGTTTTACCTCTTGACCCCTTAACAAACCATGCCCGAATCGCCAGATCGACTCGACGAAACGTCACCTCAAGAAGTAGTCGGGGAGTACAGACACTCCTCTCAAAGCATTTTCAACGGAGACCAGCTCGCAACCTCTCCCTTCAGCCAAGTCCCACCCCATTACCTCACGGAACCCCAGCAAGATGTAGACCGTTTATGAGTGGCCGGGATGGGGATACTCAGGCTTTATCAGGTCTTCCTCCTCACTCAAATTTTAGTTTGTACGCTACCAGGCTGCTCCGTTTGTTCATGGTCGCCACGTTATTAAAGGTAGCTAACAAACCTACTAGCCTGCTCAGCAGGTAGAACTATGAGCAAAAATGACCACGATTAGTGAGGGTATGGTAGAATGACCTCATTTTTCTCGTTCGAAATTCTTACAGGGTCAGTAGAGATTGCTAGCGCGTGAGACGTAGCGGAATTTGCCTGATATAATGTCAAGCAAATTTCGGAGGGTGGAATAGACCCGGTGGATAATCAGAAGCAAGCTCGCGAACGGAGTGCTTTACATGAACAATCCCAGTTAACACGTTACGTTGGGCCCACATTGGATAAAGGTGGGAATCGTTGGCGGAACCTGAATGTTGGGGAACGATGTTGGCCCCAAGTAGGCCCAACGTGGGCATATCCACACGTTGAAAAGAACTGCAGCACTCCTGGTGGAGAACTTCAAAATCTTGAAGTTCTTCGTCAGGCCACTAGATATAGGTATGGGGTCTCGCTTTTCGTACAGCACGCAAAAGATCCCTTCCCTCTTTCCCAGGAATCGTCCTTCCCAGGATTGTTTAGTGCCTCGCCATATGTCTCGCCTAGTCTCATTATAGGAATCAATAAGCGCGTACATTTAATCATTTGTTATCCACTTATTCACAACAGATTCATGGAGCTCAGGCCATAAACAAACTCATATTCCCGATGAGAATCCTTTTTAAAGACTGGAGTATTTTATCCGAAAAGGAGGTCTGAAATATAGAGGGAGCATCCGTAAACTCAATCACGCCATTTCCTCATCTCCATTGCAGAAGGAGGAAATGAAGGGCTGATATTTCGGATACTTCATGGAACCGTACGAGGTGTTCCATTCTCTGACACGTGCTGTAATCAGTACAGTCAGGGGAAGGTTCACGTCCGTACTGTCCTATGTCTCCTGCCTATCAGGGTATATTTACATGTCCTTGGTAGGTTGTAGTATATAGTACAGGCTCCGTACTACAGATGGGAATGCCTCCATTGGATAGGATACCTAAGTACATGGTATAAAATGATGATGATATAGAGCAAAAACTAGCTACTTGGGTAAGTGCTATACGTTGCTATCCAACTTGCTGCCAACGTTGACCCCATGTTGACCCAACGGTCACTTTCACGTGGGGTCTACGTGAACAACCTACGTTGGGCCAACGTATCCTGATGTTGGAGGACCACGATGGGCCAACGTGGGCTCCATTAAAAATGTTATCTGGGATATTACTTCTGTACATGTAACCGATTCAGACATAAGAAACTTCTGGAATTGTTTTCGCGTCATCTATGGTGGACAGGTTATCTGTCTACTAAGAGATTGACGACAGAATCGGCTTCCAAGGTATGTAGATAGATCTATATACAGGGTGTCCATAAAGTCTCTTTACAATTTAAAAAATTTATTACAAAGGCAATTGATGAGATATCTTAATCAAATTTGTTCTATGTACTAAGTGGTTATCAAAGTTTTTAATCACATTGCATTTTTAAAAACTTTGATAACCACTTAGTACATAGAACAAATTTGATTAAGATATCTCATCAATTGCCTTTGTAATAAATTTTTTAAATTGTAAAGAGACTTTATGGACACCCTGTATATCTGTGAGTCTTGTCGGCCTCCTGCTCCAGGGAAAGCAGACGATATTCGTGGTAATGTTATTTCATTGGACCTCGTGTGGCACGGCATATGGCGGCGACGTCAAGCGAGCAGCCGCGAAGTGAAAGTTCCACCACCGGTTGCAAAATAATTTCACAAACGCTCCCCTTACAGTGTTCCTTACATCAGGCCTAATTTTATTAAAAGCAAAGCCTTGCCTTAGCCTAAGCTTGCGTTGCGTTTAACGTGATACTCATGGCTGAATATATGAAAGCGAAAGGGGGTAAACTGAAGCTGAAGGGAGAGAAGACTCACAAGTGAGTTCGTCAATATGAGTTTGCCATGTAGGCCTAGGAACCCCAAATCTTGAAATAAGTTGGTGCAAAGAGGTGAAGCCTGTACAGTATTCTCCCCACGAGAAGACGGAATTCTGTTTAAAAGTGAAACCTAAAATGCGAAAACGATGAAGTCTGCGACTGCTTATTTTAGGCCTAGGTGTAACCTGAGGCTAGCCTCATGGCTATCATTCCTGATTGTCTCTTTCAGCTTTTGAAATGTAAGTGAGCATTGGTTCTTGATGGCTTAATGCTTAAAGAACTTTCTAATAGGTCTGACTGGTAGAAATCTCAGAGTTAGAATTCTTGCTAGGTGTGCTATTTTTTTATAAATATTTTTTAGCCTGCTATTATTCAGGCTTTAATGCTCCTTAATGGCAGGAAAAATATTAGACTGTCACACTCATAGTTTTGAAGCTGTGAGAAGAGGTCATAGTTAGTTAATGCAGCCCTTGATTGTGGTTGCATATCTAGCAGCAGTTCATCCTTGACTGCTCCAACAGGACTGAATTGAATACATGTATTCAAGAGCATTCAGAAAATACTTTTCTGTTCTTCTACTCCAAAGTATATCCACTGCCCACAATTGGTATAAGTATTTTAACATAACTTTATCAATAAGACGTTGAAGCACTCCAGAGATTGCTGCCATTTTCTATCTGGGCCACTTGGCCAGCTTCTTATTAGGAGTACCATTGAACTAAGCCCTGTTTATTCTTGGTAATGTAGTCATCTCTTATACATTGTGGACATTTCTCAACAGGCACAAGAAGCACAAGAAGAGGAAGCATGGGGATGAATCTGATGCCACATTATTGGACTCCAAGGAAGAAGAGAAAGACAAAGAATCACATGGTTAGTGTTGCTTAACTTGAGTGAGTAAGACCCAATCTTTTAGACTGTTTGGCTATCTATTTCACTCTTGAACTCAACTTATTACACTTCCAAATTCAAAATATTCCATTGAGTGGCACTTTCAGTCCACCAAACTTAGTTAGCCATGGAAATCCTGTCATTTTCATGAGGCATATCACTTCATGTTCCTCTCATGACATGCTACTGTGGAAATTAATTAATGCTGGCCAATTTTATTTGTTCTGCTCAAATGGCTCAGTCACATGTTGTGATGAGCTCTGTGCAGAGTGGTGACCATACTACTGATCCAGACTCAATCATTTGAAATGAAATCAATATATCTATTCCATGTTCTGTACTGGTAATATTGAGAGGGAACTTCATTTGAATGCAAGTTCATTCTGTGGTTAATAGGCTTAAGTAGTATTCTAGGCACTTGTCCCATTTGAGCTTACTAATCCATTTCAGGTGGATGGTGGTGTGTCCAGGAGTTTGAAGACATATCTGGACAAATTTGCATTGAGATGAATCCTCATTCTTATGTGAAGGCTCTTGATAATGGCCTCTTTGTTGTTGGACCACCCCATCCAGAAGGTATTTTTTTTTGTCTTGAAGGCAATTGAAGGAAGGAGAAATAAATATTGTTTTTTCCTTTGTTTTCTTATGGAAAAGGGGAGGGCCCATCCCCAGAAGAAATTTTGAGTGCTATCAAAATTGACGATTCTAGAATTGCCTTGAAGTCTGGGTATGGCAAGTATCTTAAACCCGATAAAGATGGTGCTGTCACAGGCAGATCAGATGCTGTGGGTCCCATGGAGTACTGGGAACCTGTCTTCCAGGTAAGATGAAAGGATTGTATGACTGATTTCCCAATGAATTTCCTTTGGTGTGTTATTGCATATCTCTTGACATTGATGCATACATGGTCTTGTCCTTGTAGGAAGGGAAGCTGGCACTCCTGAGCCATCTTCAGAAGTTCCTCTCAGCTGACGAGGAAGATAATATTGTGGCAAAAAGCCAATCGGCAAGTGTGAATGAAGTAATAAAAATCCGAAGTCAGCTACAGAAAGAGGTTGTAAATCCCAATGAACCACCTGTAGAAGAGAAGGGCAACTTGAAACAAGTGGAGATCAATTATGTGTATGTATTGGTTTGGTTGCCTTACTGTTCCTTTGATCCACTACAAGATGGAGTGGATGCTCACATTATCTCTCCTCTCTTATAGGAAGAAATTCCAGAAATTTCAAGACAAAAAGCTGAGGATAAGCAAAGAAGACAAGAATGCCCTGAAGAAAGCCAAGTTGGAAGGTGATCTTCATGAGACTCTTCTTGATAGAAGAGAGAAAATGAAGTCTGATCGTTATTGCAAATAATGACTGTTGGGAACTGCATGAGCATGTATGTATGGATCAGGAATGAAAGTCCTTTTTCTTAAATTTTGTGAAAATTTTCATTTGATGTGTTTGCACACTAATATTCACTCCCTGAGAGTTCATGGTGCCCAGGTCTTGATAGTAATGATCAAGACGGAATGTGTTACAACATCTCCTTGGCTGTTCTATTAGTCAGATTTTGACATACTTTGAATTGAACAGGCATTTAATTTGGCTCATACTCCTCTATGGAGAGAAAAAAAAGTTCATTTTATGACATAACATGATTATTGCTTTCTCTTATGGACTTCAATGGGAGTCTTCATGGGCTGTCAACATACACTATATTGCCAAAAGTATTAACACAACAAGCCTTCCTCTGCAGATAACATATTGTCCCAGAGGGCATTACAGAAGTCCAAAAATATATAAAGGTAATCTGCAATCTGTTAGAGTTGGTGTTTGCCAGTATGACACATGGATTGGAGCTGAAGGAGTTCGAATGTAGAATGATAATTGGTTGTCATGTCTTTGTCCCAATACTTCTGGCAATCTAGTGTATATTAGTGCCCCATAATTTTTCAACATATGTGTAGTCTTGATGAGTTTGAAGTACCTTTGTATTCCTACACTAGGTCAAGTCACAGTCATGGCCGAGGCAGAGAGTCGACGAGCAGATGTCCTTCAAAAACTGGCTGACCGTCACTCAGAACTTCTATCAGGTAAAGAGAAGAGCAGTCAGGTGCGGAAGGATGCGAGATCAGATGCTGATGCTTTGCATCGCACCTTTGAATCCATGAAGCAGGAGATCAAGATCAGATTGCAGGAAGCATCAATGATTCCTGAAAATAAACTAGATATGTATTTCAAGCAAGTGTTTGACCAGATCCAGCTGATGCGACAGCTGGTGAATGAATCCAGTGTGGTGCTGGGAGGCCTACCTCTACGTCGGGCCCAGGAATCCATTCAAGCCTTGACTGAAGATTTGGACAGGGTCAAGGAGGTCCTAATCCCCAAAAAGAAATTTGGTTTCTCCAAAAAAAAGAAGGAAGGAGTAGCAAAGCCTGAAGATCAGATTGATTCCCATGTCTTCAAAGTAGTGGAAGGCAATTTTCCAAGCCTGGGATTTTGTAACCATGTTGATGAAGACCTGTCCCTCACTGCAGATGATATTGCCTTGAAAGATGTATCTCTGAAGGACCTGAAGAACTGCAAGGTCACATTGAAGGGGCACCCAAGCACCATCCATGCCAGAGGTCTGTCAGGATGCCAAGTCTTTGTGGGACCTGTTCAGACATCTGTCTTCCTTCACAACTGTGTCGATTGCATTTTTACCACAGCATGTCAACAGCTTCGAGTTCACACAACCAATGATTGTGACTTCTACCTTCATGTCACCAGTCGTGCTGTCATTGAGGATTGTTCTAGACTTCGATTTGCTCCCTATGACTGGAAGTATGATGGAATTGAAGAAGATTTCAAGAAAAGTGGACTTGACATGCAAACCAATAACTGGGATTCCATTGGTGATTTTAACTGGCTTTCTCCTGAGGTGAAATCTCCCAACTGGTCCACCATACCAGAGGAGGAGAGAAGATCATCATTCCTGTGATCCATCAAAATACTTTTCGCATTTTTTTAAATTTTGTTCACACATTGAATGCTGGTATTGTCTATTGGCATTACTACATTGAGATTTTCATAATACAGAGATCTGATAACACACCACAAAGTAATGCAATTGACAATGCATGTAGTTATTTGAGGGCCCCCTGAAGCTGCTTCCTGGAGAGGAACCAAGTTTTCATGGGCTCTGTCTTTCCCTTCATTTGTATTGGTCCTCTGTATTCTAGCTGGAATTCAGGGTCGTAGTTGCTAGAATCTTGGAGATACCTGGACAAGAAACAAATATAAATTGCCTTGAAATATGCTTGGTAGACTTCAGGAATGCACCACTTAAATTTTTATTTTCAATTTAAGCGTGTGAACGTGTTGTCATAATTTAAATGTCATGCGAGGTAATATCGTTAGTCTCATGTTTTCAACGCGAAGGAATTCCAATTTCAATTTTTATTTGCATATTTTTTCCAGAAGCAGCTGCAAAAAACTGAACCTTCATTGTTAATGCCCGATGTTTCGCCGGAAATTCCAATAATCTTGTATGTACTAAAGTTGTCGGGTAAGTGAAACGCGTTTTATTTTTTAACTTAAACGGATCTGTTGCCAGGAAGCCGGATGAGAAAAAAGGAATGGGCATTCCTAAGGCTTCTTCCCTGACATTCGTCAGCTATCACCCTCTGCCTTGAGAGAGATGGCTGATCGACACTCGTGTCTCGCTTCCTCCGATTTGGAAAAGTTGGTCTCATCCGCCATTCAGTACATTCCCGTCCCCCAAATTCGTCGCGTTTTCCTGAACTCGAAGAAGGGAAAAGATCTGTTGAACGTGTACGAACAGTGGAGGTACGGCGACGAAGGCACGAGGCGGGTGGTGGAACGAGCCTTGGACCTGGCCAGCATCCGACTCTCCATCGACGAAAGCGATAGGACCTGGTGTACGTCCTTGCTCCGAGTCCGTGGCAAGGACCCCCAGTTCTGGGAGACCGTCGAGGTCGTCCTCGCCGGTGCCTTATATCCCTCGTGCGCCTTAAAGCGGCTGGTGGGGTTCAAGCCTCCGTTCTCAGAGACGGAGCGGAATCGCGAGGCCCTCGAGGTCCTACTCCAGGAATCCTCCCGGCTGGCTTTGGACCCATTTCGAGGCAGGCCGCTTCACTTCTGTCAACTGCTTCCGACTACCTTCGCGGCCTCTCACGGCTTCCCCGATGTCTTCCTCCTCTTACTCAGGTAGAATACTTCATACAGTTACCAAGCACATGACGTCGAAGTTACCATTTTTCACCGATGTATTGCGGCGGAGGTGCTTCGTCAGCTGATATCTTCTATATGAGACTCAATCGCGCGGGAACGGAGAAACGTAAATAAAATGACAGCGAAAGGCGTAGTTTTTTAACCAAACAGAACTGTGGGCATGTTTAGATACGGAGGAGGGTTGAAGGAGGCTGGAGCCCACGAGTACGAATCGGCGATTGCCATCATAAAGCAGCTAAACCATCATGCGATCGACACCGATGAATCCCCGGGTCAGGGGGTGTCCGGCGTGAATCCGACCACGCCCACAAAGGATTACTGGGAATGTCTCCGGATTCTTTTGCGAGCCGTCCCTCGTCTTTCCATCCAGGCTTGCCCCGAGGGATCATGCCCCTCCGGACACTTCATGGAGGAAACAGAGGACCGCGTCCGGATCGCCCACCCCAGGTTGCTCGGGGGAAAGTCGGAGGTGAAGGCCATCCCTAGGACGAGGTGGATGGACCCGCCCGAGTTAAAACACTGGGCCCGTTGCAGCATCCGGGCTTCCCTAGCCCTCAACCATCAGTTGCCTCGAGGTATTTATACTCTTCGTCTACCGCCGTCCCTTTTCCCCTATCTCGACCTCATGTTGGATTGATTTCGTTCCCCAATCTTCATCTATCACCATAATGATGATGTTAAATATCATGCTATACTGATATTGAATGATACTAGCAGGGTATTCGATTAAAATAAATAATTTCATTTATATTTACTTTAAACAATTCTTAGGTTCATCACAAAGCATCAATTATTTTCATCATTAATTCTGCACTATGTATGACAGGGGGAAAAAAAAGAACCAAACTATCATTCTGTGATCAGGGTTCGTAAGGAAACAAGGGAGGAGCGTAGAGCACAAGCAAAAAAAAAACTCCAGAACTGATATCTCTTGCGAAATACAAGGTATGTAGAAGGTTCAACAAGTTTTAAGCCTGAGGCACTTCCAGAACGCTTGACGTTTTGGAGACATAATTAAGAAAAATAAAGCATAAATATTTAAGATCAAGAACTTTTCTAATCCTATTCCAGGGGGTAGGAAAAGTGTTTTTCAACTTTGAACAGTTCAATTTTTCCCTCCTGGCAAAGAATCAATAATATCTTCCATAATATCCCCGAAACGTCGAGGATTCAGCAATAGCTCACGTTGAGTATCAGTTCAGAATTCATTTTTTTCTCCATCATGATGCAAATACAAAATTTCAATCATATGCTCCTTCTATTTTCCTGTTCCCTTCTAACCTTGCGTGGACTTACGCGAAAGCGTCCTGTGAGACGTTGATCTTGCCGGGTTGGCCGGTAGTCTCGGTGCGGCTGGTGAGGTTGACAGTGTTGCCAAAGAGGCAGTATCTTGGCATCCGTTGCCCGATCACCCCGGTCATCACCTCGCCCGAGTGGATCCCGATCCTCAATTCCTTTTTCGAACGAGACCGCAAGACTTCGCCTCAACCCCCTCGAACACGGAGCCCTTAAGCGAGGAAAACCGAGACCAGACCATTTGTCGTTGATGAACGGAGATGTCGGAGGAAATATCCATGATGTCCAGGGCCAGTCGGGCGATGCAACGGGCATGATCCTCGCACGGCTCTGGCAACCCACTCACTGCCATGTACTTGTCTCCCACTGTCTCCACCTTAAAAAAAAAAAACTTCCTCTCTTGAGACAAGGAAATTTGGAATAGACACGAATGGGGCACGGATATCTATAAATAGTTTGATGAGGTCGACCCGCATCGTCAGGTTTCCTCAAATGCGATGCACACGACTTCATTTGGATTTTTTGTGACTGAACGCCTTGCATGTATTGTGACTCCGTTCATCTCTCAGGTATATGTGGACTGTCTTCCATATAGGGTAAGCACCCCAGTTTCGGGCCGGTCTCCAGTTGTTGGCCAGTGAGGCTTAAATCCAGCATAATTAGTTAATCTGGCCGTTTTCAAGCATACTATCAACATCTTCCCGTACGAGGACCTATTACTAGTGTTTCCCGGTGTGTGCACAGGGTGTCCACTTCCTATGGGAGTCGTATCAGTGTGGCCAAAAACTGGGGTGTTTACCCTATATGTAGCTTGTCTTCCATATACAGACTGTTTATATAACATCCCTTTTCCCCATAAACTTGGAACTGACAGATCTTTTCCCATTTTCTTTTCATCCAATTATACCTATCGTGGGGGGGGGGGGGGGGGAGAGAGTTACTAAGCATTAGCTACCGAAGTCGAAGAGGTCATGATATTTTCTGCAAACAGATAAACCACTATATTCCTTGATATTATTATTATTGATTTTACCCCTTCCTTTTGTTTATAAAGTAGGTACCTTGTAGATCTTCGGATTTCGGTTGGGATCAGCGAGGGCGTCGATGGCGGTATAGAGATCGTTGAGGAGGCGGACGATGGTCATAGCTCCCGTGGAATCCGAATTCTCCGCGCAGATCTCGTTGAAGTTGACGATCCCCGAGAACAATAGGGTGACGGGGTGGTATCGCCGGGCGGCCACCGGCCTCCCGTGTCGCAGCTCGTTCGCCACCGATGCCGGGAGCACGGAATAGAGCAACCTGGAAGAATGCAACGTAGGCTGCGTGGTTCAGCTGTATTGTATCTGGATTTGCTGACCTTGGTCTCGGGGGCCGCGGTTCTTTTAAGTTGCATCATTGAGTCTTCGCGATTGGAGTGAGAATTCGAGAGAAAGTTTTTTTTTAACGAAGAGATTAACATTTTTTAATTACATGGTAATGAATAGAAAGCAAGCAAATATATCCAACTCAATTGTGGTAAAGTCTGAAGTTCAATGGAGGATGGATGAAATCGCATCCTACCTACTTTCGTGAGCTCATAAGTATTGTGAAAATGAGTCTTGAAGAAGAAACAATAAAAATTTGTATAAAGTCGACTGGGAATTTCGCGAACGTTGGACAGGAATTCGAAGGCTGTGTATGCGATTGATACCTGTCGGTTTTCTTCTTCTCGGACTCGAGATCCCGATAAGTTTGCTGGAGTTTGTCGGTGAGGACCTCTAGATCCCTCGTGAGCTTGTACTCGGCTTGGAAGTTCTCCGAACGAAGCACCAGGTCCTGGGTCGCGTCGTGGATCGGAATGTCGCTCAAATACAATCCCCGTCTGCAAATCATGCTCACTTTAGCTTTTCCTCCTCGAGAGTGAACTCAGTCGTGTGTGTGTGGGTGGGGGGTGCCCGAAGGGATTTGTTACCTGACGAGTTCGTCCAGATTCAGGACGCTAGGCGAGCAGATGAAGAGCATGAGGTCCGTCTCTGGCACGTAAGTCATCTGCCCCTGTGAAAAGCAAAACGGGCATTCCTTCAAAATATTCCTTTAAATCCCTTCGAATTGAACTTCCCCAAATTGCCTTCAACGAGAAACAATATCATCACGGCTGTTGTCCTGACCTTGAATCGGATCTTGGTAAAATGATCGCCCAGTTCTGCGGCGCGCAGGTCATCATAGGTCACCAGGCTGAGACGGGACTGGAGCACGAATACCGTGTTGATGTGGGACAGAACGTTTTCAAACGTGAACTCCATCTGGGGTCGAATCTGCCCCCGGAAGAATCCAAATACAATTCCTTAACTACATACACCATGCATAATGTGTATACAAACTTGTAAAATATCTTAAGACGAGCGGTCATGATGTATTTAGACGAAAAATTCCTGGCATTGATATTGCAATCGAAAAGGAGGGTATACCATATGCAAAACGGAGGAAATTTTTGTGTTGGCCTCTTCGAGGACGGGAAGGACCCTGGCGATAGAAGAACCGGCTTGGACCACCTTCATCTCTCGATCGAACATCACATGAAACGGAAACAGACGGCAGAACGTCCCTGGGCTCACCATCGATTCTAAATCGAGAAAATAACTTTCATTAATTCATCTTTCTTCTTCCTCCCACGTATATCTTGCATCCTACCAGTGGGATGAGCGAGATGTTCCTCTGCCCCCCGCCTCAACTGATTTGCAGCCTCGCAGCCGATTCGCTTCTCTCGGATGAGGAATTGGATGTGCCCGCATTCCTCCCTCCTCTTCCACAATTCTACCTCCACTTCCCGTTCGTGGAGCTTGGAGGCGACGGCCTTCACGATCCCGATCACGATCGATTCCAGTCCGTCTCGATCCGAATAGTAATGGAGCACCGTGGTGCCGTCCTCGGTGCCCTCGGTGCACCGGAACGAGGGTGCTCGCATCCCGGGGTAGATTGTCCCCAAGTGGTCGTGTAGCGCATCCAGGTTCTACGGTACAATCGACGTGTCGGATCATAAGCTTTTTCGACACCCGGAAAGGCTGGTTATGGATACAAGCCTAGTCCCAAGGCGCATTCGATTGGACGACCCGGTCGATATGATTCACGGCTACAGCATCCCAATGAGGTTGTGACGTCGTCTTTGGTCAACCTCGTCGAACGGATCTGAGTTATTTTCTCATTTGCGGTATTATCGCACTAGCCGAAAGCAATGAAAGCAAAATGCACTTATGTGTGCCGATCAGGGCAAAAAGACTGGGAATATGAAATTGTATGCTCGCGAAAGCCTTCTACGAAATCCATTCTTCCAAAACTGTCCGCTGAACCTCAGTCCGGTAGAGGACCTGCCCTAGAAGCCTACACGGTCGTGACTCTCATTCGAGTCGCCAGTCAAGCAACCCGCCATGACTGTGTACGGACTTAAGCTGCCCGATCGAACGCGCCCCTGGGTATGCCCCGTTAAAACTCGGATGGCGCGAACAAGACGGGCGGAACCTGGACGCCTTCGAACCAATCAGGAACTCGCTCGGTCTCTGGACGACCGATCCGCCTTCTCACCTGTAAGAAGTCCTTTGTTGTGGCTCCGAGTACTCGAAGGATCCTGTCGTAGCCAGAATCTTGACAGAAGTCCAGGAACATCTTCCCGAACATCTCCAAGATGGCTGCGGCCGGGACCCCTTTGTTGAAACGGAGTGAAACGTACAGAAAGTTCATGGCCTTTCATAAATATGTACCACATTTGTTAATCGTAGTACTTATATAAAATGTTGGTAATTCGGTCTTTACTTTTGCAGTTGACTTGCTACTTTTATGAGTTTTTTTCATATAAGATGCTTGAGAAACCCGTGACCATGGTCTTCATCGTGAAGCAGCGAGAGCGGATTTTCGAGCTTTTCATTGAAACAAAGTCTGTAACGTGAATGCAGAGGCATTCTTTTGTACCCAATACAAACTTCACCCACGAAACACAGAGAGAAATGACACGATATAATGTGTCATTTGACGCATGTATATGTGCCATGAGAGAATTTCTTCATGTCGGCTGTGATAAAATGTGTCACAAGGGTTGACACATTTCAACGCGTCTAGAGATGCAGTAAGATGTGTCAAATGACACACTGGAGGAGAGAATATCCCAACGGACACGCCCAATTGTGTCCCATGACACACTACAGTGTGTGTCCATTGATACGTCTGGATTACGGCTTAGGGACACGGAATAACGTGTCATGAGGCTGGGCACATTTCATTGTGCCTACTGATGTAGTATGATGTGCCAAAAGACATGTTTCAGCGCGCCAAAACTCATGAAACGTTATTCCGTGTCGCCCAGACGATCCAGGACCCACTTTTGTTCATGATTTGATTTTTTTTTGTGCACCTACCCATAAGACCATTCTTCGTATTGTTGAAAAAGTGAGAAGGCATGGGACAGTGCTTAATATGAACCACGAAGAATGGTCTTACGGGTAGGTGTGTTCTGTGAAGGAAATCTATTGGGTACAGAAGCGTCTTTGCATTCACGTAACAGACTTTGTTTCAATGAAAAGCTTGAAAATCTGCTCTGACTGCTTCACACTGAACACCTTGGTCACTGGGTTTCAAACGAATTATGTATTTTAAAAAAAACCTCATATAAGTAGCAAGTCACCTGCAAAAGTAAAGACCGAATCGTTCATATTTTACGTAAGTACTACGATCGAAAAATGTGGTACATATTTATAAAAGGCTCTGTACTTGCTGGCCCGCATGCAAATGTTTTACGATAAACCATCCAAAACTAACCGAGGACCTTCTCGGCCGCAGCCACAATGTCGTATGTGATGCTATCGTCGTAGACCTGTCGAGCAAGAAAATGTCCCTCAATGTTCACACCAGCCTCCTTCCTGTTGGATTTTTTTAACGTTTTTTTTTCCTATTTCTTTCCCGGCTGCTTAACATGTGAATTCACTGGATCATATGCGAACTCACTTGATTTTTTCCCATATTTCCTTGCCGAAGTTGCGAAGCACGAGGAGCTCGATGGCGTAATTGACGAATCCGTACTATATCAAAGATCATCCCACCTCACTTCGGGCTAATCGATTCCCATTACGACTATTTGTGACGAGACTCACCATTGTGCGATGACTGATGCGAAAGAGGAGAGGAAGAAAAGAAGAGGCCTTCCTGGGGAAAGGGAGGGACTGGAATGGGTATGGAAGGAGGGGATGCTGAGCTCTCTTCTTCCCGTTTCAGCCCATGCGCAATCAAAACCATGGCGCTCTTGCTTTATTGGATTCCGCGAACCCCGCAGTGTAAATCATATCTTATTTATTTGTAGCTAATTAGACGCGGTAGAGAACGAGTTGGATCGGACCGCATCCGATCCTTGGAAGCAGCAATAAAACCAATTTGATTCGAACCGTTTTCTACTCATACGAATCGAACGAAGGCCACATTGAGGGTACTCCGATCTCGTCCTAATCCAGACTCACCCCTGATCGAGATCGAAAAGGTCTCGACTTACACTTCTTCACTTTGGATATTCCTTTTTTTTTTAGTTGAGCATTTCTTTTGTGTCAATTTAAGGTACAATTCACGCATTGGGGCCATTGAGATATTTATTTCTGAAGTTTCTCCCATCTCTTGGCATTCGACGCCATAACCACTAGTGGCATTGGTTGGACGCCACAGCTCTTTCCGTTCCTACATTACTGCGCAGTGCAGAAAGATCTAACTCTGAGATTCCCCGAACGACAAAATATTATACAGAGTGGCATATTTTACGCGACGACTGCCCCTGGGACAAAGCCTGGCGCCCCCGCTCTGCTGCCCCCCCCCCCCCCCCCCCCGACTCTTCAGCCAAAATGCGCCACTGATTATACCTCAAGATCAGGGCCGGATTAAGGGGGGAGGGGAGTAACCTCGAGAATCCACTTGCCCCGGGCCTCTCAACTTCTCTTTTTTCCAGCATTAATTAATTCATGTTTCGGTTGAGTAAATATGACTTGCCATGAAAATGCATAAGCAAGAGCATAATGTCAACTCGTGAGAAGTAATTTCAACCTCAGAGGCAGAGGACAGGCTTGGACTGGCCAAAGCTATGATTAGGAAATTTTGGATTAGAAAAAACCTTGATTCCTCTCAATTTCATACCTGCGTTAACCTCGCGCTTGTACTATTGACCGCTTATAAACATCCTACAAGTTGCAAAAGCAGTTATGGGTTTTGAAACGGAAATTATTCTAGGCTCCACCCATGTGCTTCCTAAAATCCATACAAAACGAAGGGATATGCAAACAAAGACGCAATTCATTCAAACTGACAAGAGAAATACATGACAATCGTGGTCTCATTTGCAGGTCATGCAACCAAGCCGCCGCAGCTCTTCAGGTACAGACATCCTCGCAAAAGAAGCATAACCTTCTCGTATGGGATTCCAGGAACAAGGTTTTTCATGCTCCAGTCATTCAGTCACTCGGTCTACACTCTGAAGGAGATCACGACGGTTTTCCGTCTGACATTTCTACGATCGGGATGGGGGTGGCGTCGGAGACGGTGATGCGATGCGCTTCTCCCACCACTCCCTCCACGGCGATTGTTGGCTGTTGGATGATGATCTTCTCTCCCGAAAGGAAGTCCACGATCTGAGACGTCTTCTGGGCGACAACTTTCAAGAGACCCGTGTGGTGTCTCTCAAGGGCCAGTCTCTGCTTCTCGATCTTGAGCCTTTCTTCCTCGATCTTGAGGAACTTCTGGAATAGGGGTAACTGCCACTGCTTTCCCTCATCATCGTCCGAATCGTCTGACATTTCCTCTTCGTCGTCGGCCAGGAGGCCATTCGTGTCGTTGAGGGAGGCGGATTTCTTCGTTTTCAAAGCGTACTCGTGACCGCTGATAGGGATGTAGGATCCCTTCCTTTTCCTGAATTTTGAGGAGATTGAGAAAAAACATTCATCAACGCGTTTAAAGTAATTTTTACCTAGGTCTAATTACCAGTACTGGTATGTCAGGAATGAAACTAACTTGGGTGGGACTCCATTCATTTCCAACCAACATTTGTGCTTCCTCATGGTTGACGTCCCCGTGCGATGACTGTCATGGTACATGACATGGAAGCAGTACTTGCATATGACGTATGAAGTATCCCGGCCGTTCCCATCTACGATGCAGTTGAACAACTTCCAGACCGATGACTTGGCTTTCTGCTTTGGCTGCGAGCGAAAAACACCCATTTCCAGTTTCTCCCTGACCAACTGGGACGTCAAGGTCGCATCGGTCGAATTGATAGGGGCCGATGATACATCGATTAAGGTTACGTTCCCTTTCTCACTGGCAACACTACCACTGGCTTCTGCATCTGGCATGTCTTCATTCATGGTGTCAGTTGCCCCTTGGGCATCGACTTCAGCCATGGAATCTGGGGACTCAGTACCTTTGATCACTGTATCAGCCATGCTACTTCAAATCTGGTCCACATATGCAATAATCTTCAAGGCTAGTAGCCTGCAGAATGAAGAGAAATAGTCTATGGTATTGGTGACATTTAAGGTATACTTAGACCTAACATTAGATGGAGATCTGTGATATAAGTAGCTCTGCCTAAAACCTTGCTTGGCTTGGAATGGCTTTCTTTCTTAAGTGCAAAGACCCAAAGTCATTTCCGGGGCAGAGTTCCTGCTTCATAACCAGACAGCAGTGTATTCCTACAAAAGGCTAAGGGAACTATAAGGTTTCTGACAGTATAGGGTTTTAAAGCAAATTCAAATATACTTCAGGGATCATAGAGTTTACTTAACCTTCATACAGTTTTTATTCTGTCAATCTCATCCAGTCAGTTTCAAATATGCCACTCAAAAGTTATGGTGGGACTGCAAATCAAGGCCAGGAGTACACAACAGGTGAACCACAGTCTAGATTCAGACTGTCACATGATTTTTGTCCAAATCACAGAAATAGAAGGGGGGGAACCCAAGCAGATAATCTCCATATACACTTACATCTTTCACCTGATCCTAGCTAAAATTTCACAAAAAAATCAACAGGAGCTTGCCAAAAAGTTTATAACCCTCACAAAGCCAGGCCTATGTACTCCTGCAGGAGATACATTTATCAGTAAGCCACTGTGTTTTTCACTACTATAACTTAAAGTATTTCTCTTTCAGATGCTCCCTCATGCAGGGATAAACCTATCCCTTTTTTATTTTTGGCAAGAAGAACAAAAGCTTCCAGGCTTCTCATGATTTATACAAACCACATCAATTTGCCACAGGGAGCCATTTTAGTAAAATGACTTCCTGTGGCAAATTGATAACTACACAAAAAGGTCAGAGGCAAATGAATGGCTGGGTTGGTTGAAGTTTGGCTCCCTTTGGGAACCTGGGTTCAGAACCAAACAAGGCAAGTGCTTATTTCTGAGTGCTTGCAGTAATATCCTTGTGAAACAAGACCCCACAGCCTCTTTTGAGGGAGAAGGCAATGAACAATGTTCCATATAGGCAGCAGACATCAGAAATCAATTGAGAAATTGGGTGGATCAGACAAGAGTGAAAAAAAGGAAGAGATATAGGTACACAGATAGGCGCATGCAAAAAATATTTTTGGCATAATGAGGAAGCTCACGATGTTAATGAAGAAGTAGTTTCTTAGCATAGACTGGGAACAAATCAGTATCTCCTCAGTGCAAAAAAAAAGGATCAGGTTGTCAGTTTTGATCAGTACAAAATCCTAGCCACAGCTATCATTCTCTCTCTCCCTTCCCCCTCTCAAAACAATCATTCTGTCATCATCATGGGGAAAACTTGCAACAAGAAAAACTAAACAGGAATTGTCAGACATGTATTACAGTTGTAAAATTACCCTTTACCAGATGCTGGTGACAGACATCTCCAAATAAGAGCTTTAATCATATTTTGTTAGGCCTCAACAAGAGCTGACTCAATTGTAGCGCCATATCAACTTTGAGGCATGGAAGTGCATTCTGGAATGACTTAAGGCTTTTAAGATGAAAGGCTGTGCCCATCAACAGGCTCCCCTATATCTGGCCTAAGCCCAACCGTTTGGGCTAAACTGAATCACCCTCAGTGACATGGGCTCATAGGAGATTGAATGAGAGGCATTATGGCATTATATGTAGACAAGATCCAGACAAAATTAAGCCAACAGGGTGATGGCTTGATTCTAGGTGGGGTTATGGGGATGACAAGGGTTAGATGAGAGTTTTGGAGTCAGGGTGCATTCATAAGTTCACCATTTCAGTTCACACAACCTGGCATGGTACCCTATCCTTTGAACAGGATTGCTTCAAAGGAGCAGAAGGAAGAAATGTTCATACAATAGCATTTAAATTTGTCTATACTTATGAAGTCACTCAAGTTAATGCAAAAGCATGAACTTGATCCCTTTAAATTTATAAAAAGGTCTCGAATTATTACTCAGATTCCCTGGTTCCACGGAAACAAAGAAATTTACAGATTGGGCAAAGGAATGCAAGAAGTCATTACTAACCTTTTAAGAAAAACATGTTCTACAGCCACATCATGCTTCCAGGATTGGAAAAAGCCATTACAATATGGTATTATGCCATTAATATATGCAGCCACTAAATACCACGAATTGCCATATGAAACCTGAATGCATTGTCCATTTCGGGTCTATGCGTAAATGTGCAGTTTTGGAATGTGAGACTTGGCCTTCGTCAGCGTTAGCCAACCTAGGGGTTAGGCTACCCCAAAGCCAAAGGCCTACCCCGATTTTTGCTAGCCTAGGGGAACTTTGGCGATTAGTCCATTAAGTTAATGCAGTGCTTTTCCCTTGAATTAAACAAGTTTTCACTTACTCAAGACACTCGTACATGAGGAACATCCATGCGCAGGTGTCCGAGTCAAGAGAAAAATTGTCGGACTCAAGTGAAAAACACTAATACGGATTTGCCGTCGGATGTAGAAATAGCCTAGTAACATAAGGTCTCTCATGGAGTTGGGTTCAATACATAGCAGAACGTTGGATTCTTCACCTCAAGGGAGGCGCCATGTTATAGCACAGACGCGGATCTCCTCGGTGACGTCGGTCCAATCGTGTCGAGAACCGCTGGACGCCTATAGAGTTATCGTTGGGTCGGATAATTCCATAGCCATCTTCCGCAGCGGAAAGCCTGTACCTGCTTACGTTTCGAGATTAATAGAGAGCTAGTTTTCCGCGATACCGAAAAAGACTCGTTATGTTGGCATTACTTATGCACGCAAAGCTGCCGCTCAGGGCATCGAGAATTCATACCCGATGAAGTCTCTTTCTTGTAGCCTTGTCTCAGTCCCGCGGAATTCCATCTAACCTGCTATCTGTTTTGGCGCTTTGGCCCCAAATCCTTGTGTTCGGTTAGCTCCGCGACCACAGACTCATTTCCTCAAACTGGATACGTCATGTAGCCACCACCTTGCCCTTCTTCGATGGATGGAACCACTTCTTGTATCTCGATCGACATTTGCTTCAACTCGTGTACTGATGAGTATCAATAAGATCTCATGTTCTACTTGTTGCCCTTTTGTCATTTTATTCGAATTTTTGGAGGCGTAGACCTACAGTTATCGAAGTGATGAGTGACGGGTACGCCATTGCCCCAAGCGTTCAAATAGCTGCTGGTTTCAAAGTAGGGTAGTATTTTGGGACCCTTGCATCATTGGAATGATCTCAAATTGCAGTCAAAATATATTTACAACTTATATATCTCATTTCATTACCAAATTGTAGGCTTAGAATTAAGACAGTAATTACCAATCAACCGATAATGAGATCAAAAGCCCTTAGATACACCGCATCTCGTTAGAAAAGTCCCGTAAAGTAAAATGCAATCCCCACCACAGAGACAGTGACCTCTACTTGGCAGCTGGGAGGCAACAGCATAGAATTCGCGTTCCGAGTCAGACTAATTCCTTCCTTCTGATGACAATGCGGGAGAAAGGGTTCATCTCCAAATTTTGGGGAGAAGGCTACGCTGAATTTATATATTTGGCTAAAAACACGAAACAAATGTTTTTATTCCGTTTTTATAGCGATGGTTTTTCCCTTATAACTTGATAAATATTGATTTTCGTACTACGTCCCCATAGGTTTTTGCGTTCAGCATGAAAAGACCTTTATATGTATATGCTACCCATCAAAATTGGTGGAGGATCTACGGTCAATGGAAAAATAGTACCCTGTCAGTCTGCACAACATTGACTCAATGTTGATAAGTGGTTGACGGTGTTGATGCATATTTAACATTGACTCGATATTGGAAATATCAATTTTGCGAGGACGTAGATATCGCGTTGCACTTCACTTGAATACTTAATGTCGTGTCAACGTTTCATCAACAGATGTCGGGCGAGACATCTGGAAGTTATTCGAACAAGCAAAGTTCCCTGGTCCCTATGTGAGATGGCAACATATCGCCAGAACAGCGAGTTACCTCATTTATGCTATTGTCATGAATCCCCAGTACTTTTGGAACGGTACTTGATATCTTCTCCACGGACGACTCCAGGGAAGATATTGGAATTCCTTGATACGTTCGTTGAAAGAGGCAACGAGACCTAGGGTATGATGATCTGACTCCATGAGGCCCTCCACCCTAACTTGCGAGAGAATTTCTAAACTTAATGTCGCAGGTGACGCGGAAGCATGCATGGAGTGATTATCAGCCATCTTTTTATTGGCTGCAATTACTGTATTTGGTTTTATTTAGTAGTCCCTGTATTCTTATTGTACTCTAGTTTCAGCGAGATGTCCCTCTCTTATCGCGACACAGGCGTCGATATTAGAGACGATCTCGACATTGGAGAGCACTGAGTTCATGCTGAGAAATCATGCTTAGAGTATTTTAGCACTCAAATGGAGCATAGCATGAATTCAACATCTCAACAATGTCGAGATTCTTGATTCCACCATCGGGTCAATGCTGATTTAACGTTGCAATCAATGTTTTCATTGACTCAACATGATGAATGTCGAAACCTCAATACTCTTACAACATTGCATCAATATTGTTCATACTCTATTGGTGCAACAAAACAGATAAGAAACTTCAATATTTTTGCAACGTTTAGGCACTGTTATGTAGATTGGGTTATTGGTTGGTCGGATTCACGTGCGTAAGCCACTTCCATTGCGGGGTAGTATTACGCTTTTGAAGAGTTTTAAATCCGATTTAAGAATTCTATTTATGAAGAGTGTTGGCGGCAGGATCAGTGTAAAGTGGCAGCGGTTTTCGGAAAATTGAGATCCCTCTTCGGCTACGTGGATAACATTACGTGTGAGGAAACGTAATTTCGGCACGGGAAATTAATTTCTGAAGGACTTTCCATTCCTCTCTCGTGCGAAATCTCCTCTCTCGTGTGTGGAATATCAGAAACTAACCTGCTATTGGGAGTGTATCGGGAATCTAATTCTATTAGTTTTTATCGCTCGAGTCGGAACTCTTTATCAATTCAATTCAATAACGGTGCATGATGAAAGTAGTATAGCGGACCGACGCAGAAACTATAAAGGAA